ATGATCTGCTGTCCCATCAAAGTATACAAAATTAAGCATCTCAAAATTATCTAGAAGTGCATTGAGTGCTTATTTCCTTTGGTCAAAATCTGGAGGAATTGGGCCTGCTTGTTCAGGAATATCAAAAAATCCACAGTGAAACAAATGGCAGCTATACATTTGAATTAGGGAACTCAGCCAGATGCATGTTTAATCTGGCCAAGAGTACCAAGATACTTTTTAATTTTGTTTTGTTTTGTTTATATCTCCAGCTTGTTCTGCAAAGTGTGCTTAGGAAAATCATAATGAAATCAGAGTGCTGGCAACAGTTTTGTAGCCTAACATCTTTCCTAGTGTCATTAAATAACATGTTCAGTTAATATATAGCCTATAATATCCAGCGTGAGACCAGAGGTAGGACTTTGGTTAGGCTTGGTGTCAATGTTATGAAAGTAATGTAAGCAGCATGTGCAACCTTATCTAAATAGCAGTTGAAATTTCATTACTGCTGTAATGAACTCTTTCTACTTCTATTATCCTTGCACAGCTGCCAACAAGAAATGCAGAGTCATCAAGTGAGCGGCAAGGCTAATAAATGTCAATTTCTTTTTATGAAGAAGCTACTCTATTTCTTGTAATAGAGAGTTCTTTGTACTCGTGGTCCACACAAAAGGCAGCACCTGAAAGTACAGAAGTGCTTGGCAGTCTGCAACTGATAGTTTTTTCTTCTCCTCTCATTTAGTGTTTCTCATCACAGATTCATATTTTCAGTGTATTAGATTTAAACCTTAGTTAGGAAGCTTTTTATACTTTTGCATAGATTATAATAAAATAACTTTAAAACAGTTTAATATTAAAATAAGAATTTCTTTAACATGCTGTCCCAGATCAGAAACTAAATACAGTAATTATTAGATGTTAGTTACCTTTTAAAATTGACTTTGCAATGTGGCATTTTTGCATAGATGATGAAGGCTTTGCTGAAATTCTTAACTAATTATTTTTGCTGCCTGTGAGGGTATAGTATTACATCCCTTGTCAAGGTGTTTACAGTATGACAATAAAGTAGATTGAAATATTACTGCTTGCCAATGAAATAATTATAAGAGGGCACATTAACTTCCTTTCCAAGACTGATGTCTGCTAATGCCAACAAATATATTCTTGGAATGTGAATGTTCCAGTCCAGTGTTTCAGTACAACACATCGGACTTTATGACATGATGTCAATTTTGCAGCAACGTCCTGCAAAATTGTTGCAGCAACTGAGAAGAAATTTTAGTGGGAAAATTCCAAGTAAATAGACTCTACGTAGATAAGCTTGCTGAGTTTGAATGTGGCAGATGCAATCCTCTATCAGCAGAGAGGATTTCTGCTGGTAGTTGGTTGCATGGAGCCCAAAGGGCCTCCCATTCTTGCCAGTGGATTGCTGTACATCAAATTTAAGAAGAGTCATGCAGGTTAAAAGATCTGTTTAATCCAGTATTCTAGTTGTGCAGTAGCCAACCAGATTCCCATGGAAAATCCAGAAGCAGGATATTTGTGCAACAGCTCTGTGTTTGTGTTCGGGGCAACTGGCATATAGAGACATTGTGTCCCATCAGCAGTAATATGAGAGACCTATGTGCCCTATATTAAATTTATTTTTCATGAAGTACTAATACCATAAAACTTCTGTATGCATTTGATGAGCAGGAAGGAACCTCCACATACCCTTTAACATGTCATATCACATATTATAATCAATACATACTTGTAACCCTAGTTCTCATATTAGACCTTCTCAGTATTCCCCATTGCGGACATCTCTACTTTGTCTCCTACATGCCCTTTTCATTCATTCCACACTGGTCCTACCCCTCACTGGTTTAAGAGCCAAGCACATGTTTGTTCTCTTTCCTAAATATATCTGGTTGGACCCAGATTTAATCATATCTAGAGTAAACACTGTAAAATCTTTGAGATTTAAGTTAGCCATTTCTAGCTTGTTGCATGAATTCCAGTGGGTCTTTTCCAAGTATGACTTAAGTTGGTGTACAACCCAGTATAAGTAATGATACTTTTCAATATATGCTATCAACAGCTCAAAATATTCCTCAAAAACTACAGTGCGTGAAAAGTGAGCCATTGTAAGGCATTGTGGCTTAGTATTCATATACATACTGACCTCCATGCATTTTAGAGACAAAATGTATCCAATTCCTCAGGTGGAAATTTAACTGCTAATGATCCAGGAGAGAAAGCTACATTCTGCACACATATCCAGAGGTACTAGTAAATTGGCTGCCCAAAAAAGCAATGGTAGAGACAGTGGCTTACCATTTAGAAGAAATAGCAAATAGGAAACAGTTGTATGATTTAGTATTGGTTGGATTTCAGTGATGATCTGAAAGTTTTATCCAGCAGGTTCTCTCTAGAACTGAAATGTATCATAGGTAACTATTGCCAAAGAGGAGAGAATTTAATAGCCAAGATTTAATTGCCCAATGGAGCCATTTGAAAAGATTTTATGTTACTGTTGGGAATCAAACTGTGTGCCTTCAGTGGCTCGGCATGCAAAAGTATCTTATGTTTTTACAGCTGAACTTAATAAACCTTAGTGTTATTAATCTAGGCTGCTACTGTTGGAGTGCCCCAACTTTTGCAGTAAGTATGCAATTATTTTAGTGCCGTTTCATGTGCTTTGCATAAACATCTCTTTTTAAAAACAGACCTTAGTTGATGGCAGTTAAATATTAAGCCCAACCCTTGGGAGGTTAATATTAAACTTAGAAAGAGCTACTTAAACTCGACTCTAAATTCTATTTTATGGAGTGATTGGATGGAAAGAGAAGGGTGTGCTGGATTCTTTCATGTGACTTTATGATGTGTGTGGAAAAGTAAGAACAAATGGATAGAAGGAAGTATTCTTTGTTACCAGAATGACAGGTGTGTATCTAACACATGCAGTTGGCAAAATAGAAAGTAGGTAATATTTACAATTAGTAATATACATATGGTAGCTTTGCTGAATGTTTAGAGTTATTTGCATGCATTTTCCAGTAAAATGTGTAACATGCCTGTGTAAGTTGGTCAAATATTATCATCCTCATATTACATAAATAGAACCCTGAGTTTGTGTGTTCACAGCTGTGGTGAGATGTTGCAATAGCACTTTGCATCATAAGCACTATACTGTACTTCCGTAAGAACAGATTGTATTTGACTGGATAATGCCGGTCCTGATTTCCAGACTCAAACAGATATTTTAGGAATAAATGCTGATTTGATAAAGAAAGGGGAAAGAATAAAGTTAAAATATTCTGATCATAAAGAGGATCAATAACTTTTGACAGTCTACAGTTTTAGTTTGAGACTATTGCACCACAACTGTGTAAGATAGGTTAAGCTGAGAGATGGTGACTAGCCACATCACCCATCTGGCTTCCTAGGTAATAGGATATTTTTCCTGGTGTCTGCTTGGCTCTAGTTCAAGACTCTAACCATTATCTTCACTTGCTCTCAATATGAAACTATTTAAATTGATCAGGTGGTGAGTTTGGGCTTTTACCTTTGTGTCTGACTCTTCTAAAGGGTACAGTTCAGTGCCCTCTGAACATGGAGGCTTACATGCATCCAGTACATGGCACAAGGAGAAATGGTGACAATTTCTGCTGTTTGGCCACCTAGACAAAGTGCTGTGGTGGTGGTGGAGGAGGAGGGGGAGGAGGAGGAGGAGGAGAGGAACTCGAGGCAACAGTTTGATATGGCATAAGTTGTCAGCCCCAGCCTCCTCTCCCTGACATGCCCCTTTTCCTCTTGTTAGATGCTGATTTCCAACCATGGAGAGGCAACTGTTGTGTTTTTTCCATGTTGGGTGTAAGGAGAGTGGCGTGGGCTCCATGTTTGGAGTTCTAGTTCCAGGTTCATGGAACCTTGGAGCTGGGGCTGAGAATAATCCTGTAGCCCACAATGCTGGGAGATTATTGGATTCTGCCCTAAATGACTATGCCTAGAGCACCTCTGAATTTACACTTCCTGAAGTTGACTTACAGGATTCTTGAGCTTTGAACATTCAGAGTGCTATATCTTTATTTTGCTAAAGTCTAGAATTAGGGTGTGATGGATTATTCCTCTAGTAACATAAATCATGTAGTATACTAAAATCTTATTTTGTCATTGGTCAGCAATGGTCTGTAGTTTACTCTGTCGATGTTGGTTATATATTCGCTTCCTTGAGTGTCATACAGGCAGGAAAGAAGGTGTTCTATGTATATGTTGGATCATCCCCTCCTCTAAACCATTCCACCTATCCTTTCCTACCTCCAAGAAGTTAAAATATTGGGTTGCTAGGCATGCCTGGCCTGGGTCTGGCCTGGTTCTATTTAGCTTCAGATAATCGTGCATCATTTTGCACTGGTCATCATCTGATTGTGCTCATCTATTGAAAGAGTGGCATCCATCAGTCAAGCAGATTCTTCTGCTTCTGTGGTCTCCTTTCCCCCAAATTTTCTCTGGAATGCTGGGGAACCTGAGAGGGATATTTTGTTGTGTGAACAGGTTCCCACTTGTGCAAAATTGGATGTCCATTTATTTATGAATAATTATATGCTGCTTTTCTGCCACAGATGTTTTGGGTCATATTCTGTGGATTTGTGTGTACAAAACGGCATTTACTCAAATATGTGCTAATATTCTAGCTCTACCTTCATGCTTTTTCAGTATTTAGCTGTGTAGATTGCAAACTTTGGTCAGGGATCTTTTTTTAAAATAATGTTCTAAGGTGCTATATACTTTGTTCCAATAAGTTGTTGTAGCTGTAGATGCTGTACCTAATTACCATCACCTTCAGGATGCTAATTTGACTCATGCTCATTTCAAATATAATTTTGGTAAACTTGTATCCTATTTTTATAGTGATTAATGTTATATTAATCAGTAAGCATATTTCAGTATGAGAAGTATATCTCTTCAGTTCAGTTTAAATACATTTTCTTATTCATTTTTTAAAGTAGACTTAAATGTTGTATGTTTCTTTGCAGGCAGCTATAAATGGTGTAATTCCACAGGAAAATGGCATTTTGCAAAGGTAAGTGGGGGACTTCCATATAATTACACTGCAGGGACTATGGAATAAACTACATCTGCAAAAGAGGAAACAATCATTCCTGTTTTAGCTTTAAAATTATTTATCATCCAAATTTGAATTTTCTATTTATACAATAAAAGGAAGAGAAAGCCTTAATACAATAGAGTATTAAGTAATACAGTAATGACTTAAAATCACGTGCATCTTCTAGTCATAGAAGATCCTTCGCTGTTTAGTCATGCCCGATCCATCACGACCCCATGGACAGCATTCCTCCAGGTTCTCCTGTGTTCCACCCTCCCTCAGAGTCCAGCCAAGCCCACACCCACCTCCTCATCTAGCCACCACAACCTCAGCCGCCCCCTTCTGCTTTTGCTGTCAATGGTTCCCAGCATCAGGGTCTTCTCCAGTGAGTCCTTCTTTCTAATTAGGTGGCCAAAGTATTTGAGTTTCATCTTCAGTAACTGACCTTCTAAAGAGCAGTCAGGGTTGTCTTCCTTTAAGACTGACTGGTTTGATCTCTTTGCAGTCCAAGGGACTCTCAGGAGTCTTCACTTAGCTTTATTTCATATAATCTGCTTGTTAAGATCTTTTATTCAGAAATGCTAATCAAATGGCTAGTTGAGAAAGTTCACATATAGTATTGTTGAACCCTGCATGAGTCATTTCCAACTTGAATGTGCAACCTCCAAATGCTTTGCAACATACAAACTCAAATACTTTGGATTGTTTGTGGGTTAAATTAACAATTAGCTGTTAGGTTAACCTTGGGTTGTTTAACCCATGAAAAAACCAGCATTTCTGGATTCACACATCATGAGCTACAACTGGGCACATTGGAGTTCGCATATATGTGAACATGGCCATTCCCATTAACACAGTTCCAGAATCAAAATTAGCTAAGTTTGGTGATTACATCAGACAGGGCTATCTTAGTGACGGCCCCTGAGTTGTGGAACTCTTTTCTAGTGAATATTTACTTGGCTCTTCACTTGTGGTATTTAAGAAATCCTTAAACATATTTTTACTACTGTTAGCTTAAGGGTGAAATCCTACATGATTGCTATCTCCTAGACAGAGATCTCTGATTTCATGTCCTGCTAGGTTCCTTCTGTCTGATATTTGCTTTCTCTTCCTGTACAGTTTCCCACTATATGGACCTCTGAACTCTTTCAGTCCAGTTGTATTGCTGGGAGGCTGAGAGGCTTTTAGGATCCTATAGATTTTCACTATTCTTCATCCCTCCCCTCTCTGGCATGCCATTTTCCCCCTCTCCTCATTTACTTCTGAGACTGTGAGGGGGCCAGGATAAAAACGCAAGAGAGAAATTTCTCTTCCAAGATGGTAGATTTGCCTATGGTATTTGTTGGTAAAAATCTTCAATATCTTTTAATCATTCAGAGTCCATGAGATTTCTCTGCCTAAGTTGTGTGATCTAAAACAGTTCTTCCATATGTGTCTATTCACCATGGTCATTTTATGCATATGTATTCTGCCTGATGCTCCATATTTACCTTTTAAAGTGTGGTGCTTTGTAAGGACTTGATGATTGATAAATAACTGGAATACAGAAGTAATTTTTAAAAAGCTTGTTTGCATTATATCTTTTAGTGTTACAATTTTGGGAATAAACAGATATATGTGTATGTAGTTATAGCATATAGTTCAGTCTCTTTAAAATTGAGGTTATTTTGCTGTTGTATGCTGTCCAATTACTAACGTCTCTGGACGGCTAACAACACAAATAAATTGATGACCCACTCTGGCTGCAATTAATAAAATACAATAATACAATTCAATATTAAAACTTATTAAAATATTGATTAAATGAAAAGGTCTTAACCTGGTGCCGAAAAACATATAATGACGGCGCCAGGCGGACCTCTCTAGGGAGTGCAGTCCATAGATGGGGCGCCAACGCAGAGAAGGCCCTCCTCCGGGTATTCTATCTCCTAATATCTTTCACAGAGGGTTTCTGGAGGAGGGCTTCTGTTGCTGATCTCGGGGCGGGAGGGCAAATAGGGAAAAAGGCGTTCCTTTAGGTATCCTGGTCCCAAGCTGTTTAGGGCTTTATAGGTAATAACCAGCACCTTGAATTGAGCCTGGACTTTGATGGGAAGCCAGTGGAGCTGATAGAGGACTGGGGTTATATGAGAATAACGTCCAGTCCCCGACAGCATCCTGGCAGCTCTATTTTGAACCATCTGAAGTATCTGGACTGTCTTCAAGGGCAGCCCCACGTAAAGCGCGTTACAGAAATCCAACTGGGAAATAACCAATGCGTGTTTTACTGTGGCTAGGCAATCTTCCTTCTTAATGCATGTTACTTGTTCAAAATGGCAACAACAAAAATCCATTAGCCACTTAACTGATCTTGGTCTGTAGTGCAGGAGAAATTCTGTGCCTGGGGTTCAAGCTTATAATTGGTTTTTCAGTCCTCTCATTTTAGTTGCAGCCCCACCCACTCATGAAAAGCCTCTTAAGAAGTCTGGTATTGAGTGTGGCTTGATTTTATGAGAAGCTGCCACTGGAAAAGAAAATTAGCAATCAATGCATGCCGAAGCAACTTTCTGGACAGCACAGGCTGTTGGAGATAGAGGGCTGTTTATAGATAATAAGAGTGTCCTTGGGAGCCAGAGAAACAGTGGATACTGATGAAAACCCAGGCCTTCTCTTTGCAGTATTTTGCCCTAATGTTGAACAGTAGATTGGACATTTCCTTTAAAAAGGGAGAGACAGACAGCTAGAGAGAGCAGGAGCTGACTCGGTCACTTTACAGCCAAGATTGCTTTGCCCTTATCTTGTAAGAATAATCTGTACACTGAAATCAGCTTCTGCATATGAATCTTTTTTTGGATGTGATGTGTACAAAATGATAGTGTGTTGAGGGGAAAAACCCTGCTTTCAGATGGCACTCTTGAGCTTTGTTCCTGCATTTTGTATATGTTTATGTGCATGCACATGTTTGTGCACATGCACACACACACGCAAATAGGTAGGACGCTGTGGCTTGGGGTTAGGAGAACTGATCCCTTTTCCTTTCCTGCTTCACTCTGCTGACAGTGCTGACCATCTGTTCAGCAGAGGAGATTTTGATGTACCGTAATGCTCAGGGAGCCCACTCCAGCACACAAAAACTCTGAATTGGGGCCAATATATTTTTGCATGGAAATCTATACACCTAAACACAGCACATTCATTGTTCCCTGTAGCTTTGAAACTGCCCATGGCTTCAGAGTTGAGAACTGCTCTTTGTTCTTTTTGATTAACGAGATGGAAAAGAGGCCTCTGTACAAAAAAGAATCATAGTGCTCTATTGTTTATTTGTCATTCCATCCCCCTAATTTGGGATGCAGAATGATGGGAATTACTGTAGCAGACAGTTGAGATGACACATGTTCTGATGCTGAAGCAGCACAGATGTGTTCACAACAGCTCACTGCTTAGTTCAAGTCAGCAGTGACTAAGTGTTTATATGCTTTTGTTTTACATTTGTGGCTTTGGGTACACAAAATTTTTGCCTGAACTTTCCTTTTAAAACAATGCACATGGGATAGGACAGGTTCAACATGCTGATTTATAAATATAAAGTTTCCTAATTTAGGCATCATGACTAGATCATAATTTATAAACAATTTTTAAAAGTTCCACTGACATGGTGCTTATTAAAATGTATTTCTGTGACTGGGACAGTGGATATTCCCTTACAACTTAAAAAATGGGGAAAGGGCAATAGAAGAACAATGGATTTTGGCAGAAAACTAACCCCATTGAGGACTAGCTTGGCATATACCTATCCTCCAACACTTGGCTACCTCTCCTTGCCTCTGGCATCTGCTGCCTGAGCTCACTGTCTCTCTCTGTCCAGTGGTTAAGGCTGGCCCTGTCTGAGATTAATAAACTGTAAGAAGAAGGTATGTATTTTAATTTTATAGTAGTAAATCCCCATATATAATGGCAAGATGCAGCTCTACAAAAACACTGCAAGTAAGTTCTGGTATAACAGAACCGATGGTTTGGGAGTGAATTTTAGCCTTTGTCTCTATAGTTTGCTACTTATATGAGTTCAAGTAAGAAGAATTGTTCATTTACCAATCAATATTTTGTATAGATTTAAAAAGCTTGAAACTGTTGGTTTTAAAGTTAGTTTCTAGCCCCTTTAAAATGGGAAGGTATGTTTTCAAAGAATCTTAGCAGTGTCCAAAACCATCCAGACCTGAAGGGATAGACCAGAATATACATTAGCTGTTAAGTTTATATCAGGATGTTGGTGGTGTTAATTTGAAGTGTATCAACTTTCAGCTATTTCCTAGAATTGAAATGTTTGCAAACAATTTGTTTCATGCTAAACTTCTGCAGTATTCTGAACATTAATCTCAAATAGCATTCATAGAACCAAAACAGGTTGTTGCAAGAAATTGACTGCCTATCTTTATTTGAAATCTAAATGATATATTTTTCAGTGAATATAGTGGGGAGACTTTACAAGGAACAGTGTATGGTCCTGGTAGTCATCCATCCTCCACGTCTTCAACACCTTCCGCATCTTCTGCATTTCGTCATGTTGTGCCATCTAGACAAATAGTGGAAAGACAGCCACGGATGCTTGATTTCAGGGTGGAGTACAGAGATCGGAATGTGGATGTGGTACTTGAAGACAGTTCTACTGTTGGTAAGCATCTGTTCTGAGGGTGGAGAATGCAGTCATATAAAATGGATATAAAACTAGCTGCAGCACAAGTGACTTTCTTTGGATGGTTGGAGATGGGGACTGGCAAGCAGAAGCACCACCTGTAAAGTTAGTGATGCTATGTGTGTTTGTGAGAAGTGTGGTGGGAATGGAAGCCAGTTCTTTTAGTATTTGAGCCAGTTTTTCTGGGCAAAAACAACATAACTTTAAATGCTGCGTGATGAGGGTCTGGGACCAGTGCTGGTTCCAGGTTTCTGAAGGCTTTTGAGCAAGGCACTACCATTGCTGCTTGCCTGTTGGACAGCGAGAAGACAACGAGCAGGTAGGCAGTAGCATCTCACTGCTGCTGCTTCTCATTACCACCATTATTTGGGCCCAAGTGAGAAGAAAATGAACAAGTAGGTCTCAATGAATGAAGAGAAGATGCAACTTCAGAGGGTTCTTGCCACTGGACTCCCGCTGGGGTGTGGGCCCTTGGCATGTGCCCAAACATGCATACTCTTGATGCTTGCCCTGGCCAGGAGCATTGATCACCTCTAAAGTGTATGGTACACAGTGCTTCCTGAATTAGGGTTGTGTTTATTTCCAAAAGATGCATGAACATTTGCTAGCACTGTTAAGAACACTGCCCTTATTGTAAACTTTTATCTATTTATCTTGAAGTTTTTATCTCCTTCAAAAGTCAGTGATCTCTCTTACGACTTTAAAATATATCATAAGCTTGTTGGCACTTCAACAAACCACATAGATTTATTTATTTATTTGATTTTTATCCAACCCCATTAGTCATAAGCCTCCTTCATAGATACCAAGTAAGACTTAAAGCATTTGTACCAATTAACAATTGGCAATATTTACTGGGTTTTTTAATTCACTTTGTGATGCTTTGTAGGAGAATAGTATCTTGCTTTCTTCTTTATTTAAAACATTTATACATGCCACCTATGATCATATAGTATAGAAACTTGCTTTAAAAATATGTATGCTGTTCAGAGATGCTATATAAAGTTGTTCATGTCTTGCTTCTAGTATTTTCCCAAGTAAGATAAGATGAAGTAATTTCTGCTCACGTTTAATATGAAATGTGTTATCAAAGAGTGACACCTAGTGGCATATGCATACATATTTTATTTGCTGAGCATGTACTTGTTGATCATTTCCCTCCCCCCTTCCTTCCACCCCCTCACCTAAATCTTCCACCTTTATTATGCTCAATTCTTAGCTCATGTCTCATTTACTTGGTTGTAAATTAGTAAAATGTAAGTTCATACTTCCTACTTGCTGATAACAGCTGAATGTGAACCAAGCATGATTATAATTAGGATTACAATGTTTAGTTAATGCTCTGAGAAACATTTTGATTTTTGTATGAAGTGCCCTGAATTAGTCAGGCAGCTGGCTTCCAGATTTTTATTTTTAGCAAAAGGAAGGTGGAAAGTACCCTTTCCAGAGGTGTTTGCTCCTATGTGGATGAGAGAAGGGAGCATATCATATGCATGCATATGCAGTCTAAAAACAAAGCATGCTTTTTTCTTTCCAGGAGGAAAATGTTTAACTGCATGTGGAAATCTAAGGAAGGTTTAATGTCCAGCTAAAATGAATGATTAATTCCAGGTGCAATTGTGTATAAATTTCAAAAGAGAAATAGTTTACAACTCACAGTTAGCTTTGCAGGTTGGGGCATGCTGGGAGTTGTAGACCTTTTTTTCTGTCAAACTTGCATAGACGTGTGCCCTTAAATGTTGTTATCTTCTCTGGACTAGGATCTAGATCAGGGGTCCTCAAACTTTTTCAACAGGGGGCCAGTTGAAAGGTGGCGGTGGCAGGCGCGGCAGCAGGTGCGGGTGCGGCAGCTTACTCAAGTGGAGAAGGCTGTGTGGCTGGCCACCCATGGCTCGGCGAGGCGGCGGCTTGCTCGTGAGGAGAAGGCCATGCAGCTGGCCACCCCTGGGCTCACATAATTAAAAATAGATTTAAAAAGTTATATTTTACGTACTTTCATTCCTTTTTTAGTTTCTTCGTCTTTGCCATCATCGTCTTTGTCTCTCTTTCTCTTCTGCCCACCTCTCTTCTGTTTCCCGCTCCATATTCCCGCTCATTATATGTGTGCAATGGGGAGGGGGGAGCTGGCACACATCCAGTTATGCTGTTGCAATTTGGGCATGCGCCGGCTCTCTCTCTGCTCAGTTTCTGAGAACACCTGTGCTGGCTCAGAGGTTTTGGACTCGCTCGGAGATTGTTTTCTCCAAGCAAGTCCAAAACCTTTGAGGCAGGCTGGATAAATTGGCATGGCAGGCTGGATGTGGCCCACGGGCTGTAGTTTGAGGACCCATGATCTAGATAGTGGCTAATTTTAAATGCTTTAGAAAAAAAATAAATTAAGTGTTAGAACGATTTGCCTTTTCTGAATTTTGTATACTCACTGAATTCATTTATAGACATTATTTGACTTTTTATAGACTGAGCTGCATGAGAGTCTCCCTTATCTTTTCCTTAATCATAATGAGACTAAAACTGTGCCTTCCTGCTTTTTCCACCTGGATATAGTGTTTGAATATGGTTTGTGTAACTCAAACCCAGAACAAAGATATGTATAGTATATCACAGAAGTGAGTACAGCCCTCACATTATCTTTTCATGTGACAACCCTGAAGAAATGACACTTTGCTACAATGTAAAGTAGTGAGTATACAGCTTGTGTAACAGTGTAAATTTGCTGTCCCCTCAAAATAACTCAACACACAGCCATTAATGTCTAAACCGCTGGCAACAAAATTGAGTACACCCCTAAGTGAAACTGTCCAAATTGAGCATTATTAGCCATTTTCCCTCCCCGGTGTCATGTGACTTGTTAGTGTTACAACGTCTCAGGTATGAATGGGGAGCAGGTATGTTAAATTTGGTGTTATTGCTCTTACTCTTTCATACTGGTCACTGGAAGTTCAACATGGCACCTCATGGCAAAGAACTCACTGAGGATGTGAAAAAAAGAATTGTTGCTCTACATAAAGATGGCCTAGGCTATAAGAAGATTGCCAAGACCCTGAAACTGAGCTGCAGCACGGCGGCCAAGACCATACAGTGGTTTAACAGGACAGGTTCCCCTCAGAACAGGCCTCGCCATGGTTGACCAAAGAAGTTGAGTGCACGTGCCCGGCATCATTTCCAGAGGTTGGCTTTGGGAAATAGATGTATGAGTGCTGCCAGCATTGCTGCAGAGGTTGAAGGGGTGGTGGGTCAGCCTGTCAGTGCTCAGACCATACGCTGCACACTGCATCAAATTGGTCTGCAGGGCTGTCGTCCCAGAAGGAAGCCTCTTCTAAAGATGATGCACAAGAAAGCCTGCAAACAGTTTGCTGAAGACAAGCAGACTAAGGACATGGATTAGTGGAACCATGTCCTGTGGTCTGATGAGACCAAGATAAACTTATTTCGTTCAGGTGGTGTCAAGCGTGTGTGGCGACAACCAGATGAGGAGTACAAAGACAAGTGTGTCTTGCCGACAGTCAAGCATGGTGGTGGGAGTGTCATGGTCTGGGGCAGCATGAGTGCTGCCGGTACTGGGGAGCTACAGTTCATTGAGGGAACCATGAATGCCAACATGTACTGTGACATACTGAAGCAGAGCATGATCCCCTCCCTTCAGAGACTGGGCCTCAGGGTAGTATTCCAACATGATAACGACCCCAAACACACCTCCAAGACGACCACTGCCTTGCTAAAGAAACTGAGGGTAAAGGTGATGGACTGGACAAGCATGTCTCCAGACCTAAACCCTATCGAGCCTCTGTGGGGCATCCTGAAACAGAAGGTGGAGGAGCGCAAGGTCTCTAACATCCACCAGCTCCGTGCTGTCGTCATGGAGGAGTGGAAGAGACTCCAGTGGCAACCTGTGAAGCTCTGGTGAACTCCTTGCCCAAGAGGGTTAAGGCAGTGCTGGAAAATAATGGTGGCCACACAAAATATTGACACTTTGGGCCCAATTTGGACAGTTTCACTCAGGGGTGTACTCACTTTTGTTGCCAGCGGTTTAGACACTAATGGCTGCATAATGAGTTATTTTGAGGGGACAGCAAATTTACACTGTTACACAAGCTGTATACTCACTACTTTACATTGTAGCAAAGTGTCATTTCTTCAGGGTTGTCACATGAAAAGATATAATAAAATATTTACAAAACGTGAGGGGTGTACTCACTTCTGTGATATTCAAACATTACATCTACATAAGCATCGTAAGTAGATCAAGGAGGCATAATCCACACATAGGAAGAAGGTAAATGTGGTCAACATCTAAGTTAGGCCATTGGTTGCTCTCTTTCTACTGATCAATTAGTATTTCAGACTGTATATTAAACTATGTTTTGACTGAACGGGCAGAGGGAACTGCATAGGCTAGCTCTACTTTCCATAACACTATGCACCACTAGTTTGACCTTCTTAGAAAGAGTTCTCTGTACATACAGATGTATGTGTAGAAAGAACAAACATGCAAGGAGTACTATGACCAGTCAGGTTACTTTTTCATGTGTGGAAGCTCTTTGTGCTTTTCTATGCACAAGTTATGCCTCAAGAACTCCTTCTACAAAGTATCAAATGGAAGATGGTTGGAGGATTGTATTGGTGTGTGTTGTGCTTTACTGCATTAGAACAGCAGCAGCAGCAGAATTTTGGATGGTTCTGCGCCCACTGATTATTGCTCAGGGTCCCATTGCAGATGATAAAGAACCAACCTATTTCTCCCAGTGCTTAATGCATTTGCACCAAATGAACACCAGATGGAGTTAGGCTACACCGACAATGGATGTAGATGCAATTTTCATGATTATTGAGACCTGTTTAACTTTTACCTAATCTGATGAGATTAATAAATATTCTATACTGGATTGTAATGTATCTGCTTTTTGGACAACACTTTTTCTACTTCTTCCTGTTGAGGCAATTTATTTGATCTGAAAGGATTTTAAGCAAAATGACAAACCTGTCTACAAATTAGAACAGACACTTTGGGCCAGAACAAGAATATAAATGCTTTTTAAGGAGAGGATTACTAGTGTTGCTTGGTATTTACAAACTAGACTAGATAATGTTGAACACAGATGGAGATTTCTGAATTAAGAAGATTTTTTCCGTCTGGTCAGCAATGGGAATCTGTAATGAGAAATTATGACCAGGTTTAGATTACACTTCATGGCGCATCATGGCTTATTTAGCACAGGAAGAACTGTGGTGTCTGTGGGCGCTGGATTGCATATACAACACCCAATAAGGGGTTTTTTTTTAACCCTGACATTACTGGGTTCCTATGATACAACTGCTGAGCTGCTGTTGCATATTCAAAATAAAAGTAAATTATTTGAAGTTAAATAACCATTTGTAGCATCAATTAGAATTTATCCTAAATATTAATTTTCAATAGTTCAGTGCTTTATGCTTTTCACATGTTATTCATGTGTCATCTCTGGTTAAGCCTCTTTACTAAAGTATTAAAAAATTAATGTAGAAGGAATGTTTAAAATATAATAAGTGGGGAATGTTTGGCCTTATCAGACTTAACGATATGCATTTTTTTCAAACTTTTATTTCATTTCATGTTGATACTACTGAATAGCTACAGTTCTCAGGATTGTTCCCAAACATTTCACACACACTAATGAATATTAACATAAAATATAACATAATTTTAAACAGAATAAGATTTTCTGATGCTTTGTAAAGTTGAATGCAAGAAAACAGAAATATTGATAACATTTTTCCTTTCCAGGGGATATCAAACATATTTTAGAAAATGAACTTCAAATTCCCACATCAAAAATGTTGCTAAAGGGTTGGAAGACGGGAGACGTAGATGATAGTGTGAGTTATAGAATCTTTGTTACAGAATCTTCCTTCTGTGTACCATGTTGTGTTTTCTGCCACCTGGTGCTTATGTGCAGGCAACATATGAAACAGTCTGAATATGATGAAACCTTTTCTAATGTATTGTGAAAATGTACCCAGTCAATTTTCTTGGCCAAATATAATCTGTTGGATGCTTTATTGGAGAATTACAAACTTATGCCACTGGAAAATCCCATAACATTTACATTGTAAAAGCAAAGCCGTATTGCCAACCTGCAAAATATCCTGTAGTCATGAATATATATTAGCACCTTTAGTAAAAATATGCAGACACCATCTAGTGTAAGTCTTGTTTAGAGTAGATTGAAACATCCAGGGCTACGCTAAGATGGACTTACACTGGATTTCCCCCTAAAAACTATTAAACAAAATTTAAATGTTAAGGGTTGGGGATTTTATAGAATGGTGGCGTTGCAGTGAAAAGCACTTCGGATTTGTAAAGTGCAGGACATCCAATTTTAATTGATTATTCTTCTCTGCCCATAGCATGGAGCAGGGGGATTAGACTAGACATCCAAGGGCCCTTCTGACTTAATGCTTCATGAGTTAAGTGTGCAAGACTGCAACCATAGGTCAAAGCATGTACATCTGATTCAATTCATAGTATTGTAGTATGGAGAAAGATCACCATTCTATGGTAAAGCACAGGTTTTACATACTGGAAGCTCCCAGTTTTTTCTTCAGCATCTCCTGGTAGGGCTACAATGGGGTATTGATTAAAATCCTGGGGAACTACTCTTATATAATGTAGTTGATGGATCAATGTTCAATTAGAGAGCTTGCTACATTCCTAATTAGCCATCTATTTCCCATTCTTAGTGAGCAAATACTACTATTTCTCTTCATCATTCAAAGAATCAGAATGAGCTCTAAAATGATCTTTCTGTATCAAAGGTCAAAATGAATAAATGTGAAATTTGTATATGAACCTGTAATGTTAAAATTGCTGCCAGATATGATCTGATGTGACTGAATCAACTATGTGATATTTTGAACTGAGTAGAGCAGCCTTCACTAACCAGGTACCTTCTAGAAGTTTTGGACCTCAACTGCCAGCAGCCACAAGCAGCTTGTCTAGTGGCCAGATGACATGCCAGGCACCATTTTGGGGAAAGCTGAAGTACCACATATCTAATGCAGGCTGAAATTGGTCTTTCAAAGTTGTTTTTCTGGGAAAGCCTTTTCTTACTACTCCTTCTAGGACCAATTTGCTTTGCTGCAGCTATGCAGGGATATGCAGGCTAGAAAGAGAGTTTTGGTGGACAGGATGCCTCATCCAAGTCCAAGATAAAAAGTCAAGTATGCTGAAGAATGGGTTGTTCTCTCATCATGGAAAAATGTGCTTCAGAGAAGATTAAACTTATCTAAAATGTTGTTTGCACTTCTCTCAAGACTTTCTACTGTAAAGAAGCAGTGCTGCTTCATTTCTTCAAATATATTATAGTGAATTCTGAGGATAGAAGAAAGTTCGTCAGTGCACCATATATTTTGTCATCAAGTATCAGATAGAAAGCACCCCATTTTATTGTAAAGAAAGTTTTTTAGGACCAAACTAGATAATGTGCTAAAGCTAGACATGTATATCCAGCCAGCCAATGAGAATTTCCCTTCTAGTTCATCAGTTCCTCAATAATACCTCAGGACATGATTTTCATCAGGACCAGAGAGAGTCCCGGTCTCCACATGGTATTAATTATTCCCTCTGGACATTTTTAAGACACACAGATACGGTTGCTAGTGATGCCTTTAGCATTGCATCAATTTTGAGTTAGTTTGAAATGAAAGCACCTGATAGAAACATTTTGTAACTTATAAACCCATTTTTTCCTACAGACTGTTCTAAAAACTCTACACTTGCCAAAAAACAACAGCCTCTATGTCCTAACACCTGACTTGCCACCACCATCCTCATCAAATTTGCCTGGGTAAGTTAATCAGCAAAAGTAAATTTGTCCAAATAGTAAAAGCATCAGGTTAACATTACTGTTGAAATTCCATACTTTTCATTATATGTTAAAAAAACTGTCTCCTTTTTTGCCTCAGGTTAGTATATTTCTCTTTAAAAAAAGAATACTAAATATGTGCATACAACTTTTACCCATGATGAACTTTTATATACAAAGTCATAAATTCTTGAAATTTTCTACCTACATTTCTTAGATGTTAGTTATTGATGGATTTTTAAAGCTTTGTTCTTGACCCCATATAATATGAGTAATTCAAGCGAGCTTTCTTAAAATTAGTGTACATATCAGGTTCAATGTTGGGGTGAATCCTACTTTGGGGATGGGATATTTGACCAAATAAACTAAACCTTTGTTGCAATTCTTCTTAACTTGCATTTACCAAGGTGAATGATTTCTGGCTTCCCATATTGTATTTAATTTCTTTTGTTTATTTTTCTGATTGTATAAGCTCAAGAACCCCCAAAGAGGCATACAATCATATATTCATTTTACAGTGGATTGGATCCACCGGTGTCCTTTGCTGAAGGAAGGCTCTTTAATTCAGTTAAATTCAGTTAATACTTTTAATTCAGTTAATTTTAATTCAGTTAATACTTTAATTCTTCTGCAGCTACTTGTTCCCCAGCCTGTGCTGGCACAGAGCTTCTCTAGCTCAATGGGGCAGGTGGGAGAGGTGTAAGGGTCCTGTTGCAGGGGGAGAAAGTGCTGTCCTTCCCCATTCTGTTCATGTGAACTCCTCTAGATCAAAGTCTGCCCACAGCAGCACGAAACCATTGGATAAAACCAACAAAAATAATTTATAGTTATATCATCCTAAATAGACTTAGTAAGAAACCCATAATATATTTTCAAGTGAAAATATAGAGCATGAACCACTTGGAAGTTGCATGCAAGTCCTTTTTGAAATGAATGTGATTGCACAGTTCCCATTTGTTTTAATGGGACTTGCACAGGACAATTTTGGGCTAGAGAGTGTTCATGGCTATTACATTGGTACTTGGGAGAATGTGATTATTGAGCAGAGTAACAATAAAATTCTAGCCTTGGAAGGTGTTTGTGTCTGTGTGTATAAAGCTAAGAAAGAGAAACCAGTTGAGTAGAATCAGCTGAAGACAACTTTTATATAATGACACTGGCTGTTGGCCATATAAAAGGTGCCATATACACTTTTTTGAGGCACAATACACAGTGCTGGTACTTAGCCTCTTAAAGCTCTAAATGGCTTGGCAACTAGATATCCAAAGTATATATTCTCCTACATGAGCCCGGCTGCTGTTGTGATTATCTTCAGTTCTCTCCTCCCTGTATCCATTCTACTGGGAGGTGGGGGTCTAATGGGTAGTGACTGGAGTGAAGACCTTTTCAGTGGTGGTGTCCTTTGTGTTGGCATGAATTCCTCAGGGAAGAGTGTTGCCTTGTACCATATGTGATGTTCCTTTCTTTCAGGTTTATTTGTCTGAACCTTTCAGCATTTCTGTCTTCCACATTTAACTCAGACTCCAGACTGGCATTATTGATTTTCATTGTTCTGGCCTATTTTTATAGCTGTTGCTGTTCTTTTCTTTGCAGGTCTAGTATCTCTGAACTATTATTTTTTTAAAACATCAGCCCACATAACAAACTGCACCAACACCCTTTGTTTTTATTATGTTTGATGTTGTCTTTATTGTGAATTGTCCTGGGAATTTTTGATAAATGTACATATAAATGTTTATTTATTTTTGGGGTTATTTCTAGGCCATCCAATCACATTGAGTCTCTGGACAGCCCACAACAAAATCAATAAATACAACAATAAAAATATAAATATCAACATATAAATAAAGGTTTAAAATGAGAGGAAGGATCTAAACAATTATGCAACTAGGGACCTTGCATCTTTGTGCTTCTCATACTGTGCTACACCAACTGTCTCAAAGCTATTTTCTGATTCTCTGCCTGGGTCAACTTGTGAAAGAAATAAAACTTTAGTGAAGTAATGCAGCATGACCAACTCTTTGGGTCTCAGTGAATGCCTGAAAATTATAGTCTGTCTGCATAATTCATAGCCATTATAGATAATGGCCTGTGCTGTTTTTAATTGAATATTAAACTTATAAAGCTGACTTGGTTCAGACCCTCAAACAAGCATTAAAACTAAGTGGAAAAAATAAAGGTGAAAGTGGTTGGCTGGGTGAAAAGCAAAGAACGGGATTTGTTTCTCTAAGTGTGACAGATTTCTTAGTAATTGTTGTGAACCGGTCCCTTTCCTCTTTCTTTCTGTTATCAAACTTAAGAAAATCCTTTAAAGTTCAGTTTTTAAAATTGGAACTTAATAGATTACAGAGCAGTATGAACTCTAGATAGCCTTCTACCAAAGTTGAGGGAGAAGCATCTACCCATGAAAAAGTTGAATCCAAACTGGAAATTCCCCTTTGTCTTTCCTTTTCAGTAAAGCTTCTGACTCTACCCCCAGGGTGGCTCTTGGTGCTTGAAGGCAAGATGACGGGAATGACAAAGACTCCCTAATTGAGCAGTTTGTTTCTCCTATCAGCTCCTTACTGGGTCAAGGGCTGAGTCTCTCATTACCTCCTTCTCCCATCCTGGAAACCCTTCTGCTGCCTCCAAAGCCAGACAATTACCATACTGTGCCTGAGAAACCTCACTAGGTAACCTTGAAACTTCAAAGTCCTCTGCCCCTACTTGCACCTCAGTTTCCTCCTCAGAACCAGATGAATCTATCTGAATAGTCTGTAATGAGCAAGAGACGGGCCCACTCTCTACAGTAATGAATTAAAAAGAAGCCAAATTATTCGTCATGACTACAAGTCTTGTACTTGTAAAGATGTTCAAGCTATAGGTTGTGTTGTTGAAAGCAGTTAATCAGATTTATATGTTTGTGTGTGTGTGTCTGTGCGCGCGCATGCATAGCAGTGATGGTGATGCTGTGATGTCTAGGTGTATGTTAACTGTAGCAAAATTTCAGTTAAGAATCATGTGATTTGTAATTATTGTTATTGTCTGTTTTGTTCTGCTAGAGCCACAGATCCTGTCTATCCAGAATTAAATTCTGTTGAAACCAATTGCATTTAATCCTAGGTCTATGCATGTGGTTGCAACCTAAAGGTCTCAGTGAAACTAAGCTTTAAAGTTGTTTTCTTTCAGGGTTTTACTGAGACTGTTTAGAATATCTGAAAAGTTCAGAAATGCAAGATAAACAAGCAGAACTACTTTTCATTTTCCACACTGGCTAGATTTTCTGATTGATTGCTGTTTGAGACTAATCTGCCATTGCTTGCTGCATTAGCTACAACAAACATTACATTTACATACTGATTTCCTATTTTGTTTTAGTGTAAATAAACTGTAATTATTGTAAATTTGGATGTCTGTTGACAAGAGCTTGTATAAATCTTATGTTTGTAATAGAAATGTTAATTATTATGTGTCATGATATTTTGTTAAAATTTAGATGTTTGGATGGAAAACGAATAGATCTGATGAATAATGGATTTTTTCCTGCAATTCATACAGAGTCTTCGTAGAGTTAAACTAGAATAAGGCTACAAATCCTAGATCAAATTGCTTGGGGTTAAACTCCATTCAAAGGAAACTGCTTCTAAGCAAGGAGCTGTATAGGATTGTGCTGTAATGCAGACTATTACTATAATCAAAACATAGTGAAGAGAAGAGTGCATTCCATCTAGGGAAGAGATTTGGACCCAGTAGAGATTTTTGCTGAATGAAAAGTAGGGAAGAGGAGGTCACTTTCATGGATTTTCCCTTTCCAACCCTATCCACACTGTTCCAGAGGTTCTCTAAAGTCACTGGAGCATACTTTCTCCTGAGCATATTTTCAAGACCACAAAAGCTGCATGGAGAAGGGGGAATTGGTAGCAATTGCCTTTTTTCTTTTACTAGGTAGGGGTATCCTGTGAGCAGACCTTCCATTAGGGAATACTTCCACCACAGCAGAACTAAAACAATGAATGGCAGATTATAACTGAATATTATTCCTAATCACTGAAGATAGCTAGAATCTTCCAGTCTTCAGGAACATAGGGCATAACCTAAATAAATACAAAGCCTCTGAATATTTATTTATTTATTTATTTATTTATGGATTTATATCCTGCCTTTTTCCTCAAAGGGCTCAAGGCAGCTTACATCATTCTCCTCCTCCATCTTATCCCCACAACAACCCTGTGAGGTAGGTTGGGCTGAGAATCTGTGACTGGCCCAAAGTCACCCAGTTGGCTCCATGGCCGAGCAGGGACTAGAACCCAGGTTGTCTGAGTCCCAGTTCCATGCTCTTAACCACTACACCACACTGGAATTCCAATACAAAAACAAGCTGATTTTTAAAATGTAGGTTTCTCCCAGTTTCTCCTTAATTATTGCCAGGTAGTTAATATGGGGAAGGAAAAAATCCCTAATGTATAGCAATGGGCTATGAAAAAATACAAGTAAAAAACAGTGTTTCACATAAAGTTTATAATATTTCATTCTGTTCCAAAAAAGTCAGTTAAACTTCTATTAATTGTTTTAATTTTATGAGCAGCTAGGGCAAAATGAGCTTTTATTCAGTCTGAATCACCCAGTAGTAGTTCAGTTCTTAACAGGGAATGTGTGAGCCATTGCAGGAATAGCAAAATGGAGATATAGAGATATACAGAGTCAGATAGCTCTTCTCTTGTGTACTCAAGATTCTACTCAGTCTCTAAGCTTTCTATAACTTTTGCTGGTTTTGAAACGGACATACGTATGAGATTGTGTCTAGCAACTCATTCTTTTTTGAAGTCACTCTGTGAGAAGGGAAATAGTTTGAAGACAGGATATTACACCTGGTTGATTTTGCGCAACAGTTGGTGAAGAAAATAATGGAAAGAAATGTAAGACAAGAGATTAAGGAAGGAAGAAAACGTAGGTTACTGCCAAGGCACAGATTAAATTTAAATCATAAATTCAGTTGTATCTTGCTTCTCCAAAAAGTCAAGGTGCCCTCAAACAGAATGAAATGATTTTTAAACTGTCAATAAATACTTCAATATTAGCAGCAGCAGTGGAAGTAACAGAACTCCCAATAGTCAAAGGCCTTCTGAAAGGATCAGATTTTGTGTCCTTTTTAAGTTGTTAGACAAGAGCAGTTTGGAAGATCATTAGGGAAATCCTTCCTCAGAGCCATAGCACTGAAGACCTTATTTCTTCTCTAACACAGCATGGACACCTGGTGCTGATGGGATCTGAGCTACTGGAAATCTTGAGCTTGTGGTGGACAGCTCAATGAAAATGTCAAGCTAGTATGCAGCTGCCATGAAAAGGTCAAATTCCATGTTAGGCATAATTAAGAAAGGAATTGAAACTAAAGCTGCCAAAATGACATCCCCAGTACAAATATATGGTGCAGCCACACTTAAAATACTGTGTACTATTCTGGTTACTTCAGCTATGGGGGGGATACCATGGAGCAACTAAAATAATCAAGGACTGCAGCAACTCTGCTATGAGAAAACATTAACACATTTGGGATTGTTTAGCTTGAAAAAAAAATTGAGTAAGGGAAGAGTCTATACAGGCACACACAGTCATCCATGGTGTGAAGAAAATTGATAGACATGTTTGTCCCTATTATAATACTAGAACCTGGGCCATAATACTGGAACCCAGCATTCTCATGGATTTGCTTCCTTGTCTGAGAAACTGAGCAGTTGTAGAGTGTGTCTTAGAATGATGATGAATATAAATTAGTGGATATTTTACAAGTGTGTTTTGGGTTTTTGAAATCTGGTATGATCCTTAGCTTTATAAATATAATCCAGAATCTTTTTGTGCTAATGTTGATTAGTACTTTAAATTCTAGATATAAAACAAAGCATCCACAAAAGCTGCTATCTAGAGAGATGTAGCAATGAGAGATTAGCAGTGAGGGTCTATGCATGCATGTTTTGAAGCATCTAGTTACCAAACATGATACTTGGCATTCTAGGCTGGGAAAGGGGATCTGCATTTATTTCTCAACTTATCTAATCATTAATCTTCATTTCACCATAAAGGTAGCAACCATTTTCCAGTGTTGTGCACATAACTCCTAACCCACTGATGGAGAACTAGACTAGATGTAGATATGTAGTGTTGTGGACTGTACATGCAGCCCCTTTACATGAAGTGCTTGTGGATACCTGTTTCTACATGTGTATTGCTCGTGCTGTGTATGATTATAATTAATTGTCAAAATGCTTAGTATTAGAGTAGGGAAATATTTAGGAAGAACCATGGAAGGTTGAGAATTAATGCAATTTCCCAGGAACTGATTTGAATTCATAAATTTTCACATATGTACAAGACATTGATACTGCTAGTACGGAAATCTCTTTCACCAGTATTTTTGCCCTTGGGAAATTGTGAATATCCAGAAGAATAAATATTGCATTCTAGACATTGTTTTAGATAGTTATACAAATATTTAGTATAAACTGGTCAAGAAGCAGGTGTTGATTTTTGCCACTCTGAAAATGTGTTTTAATGGGTAGTTTTATTATCAGAGACAAATTACTGATGCTCACTATGCCTTCATTAGGCAAGGTACTTCCTCTAATGCAGAGTTCTCACTTAGACAAATTAGAATATAATCTAATTTGTCATCTCTTCTAACTAGCATAATATATATTGATTTAATTAGCTAAAGGAGGACCAATTATTATCTTGCTTTATACCACCAGAGAACCTGTTTGAAATCGAAGTATTCTGCCCTGGTAATCTTCAGATACATACTGTTGACTAAACCACTGTCTAGCACACCTGGGTTGCAATCATATGCATACTAGCTTCTAAGTGCCCCTGGACACAGTGAGATTTACTTCCAATTAAGCATGCACAGGATTGTGCTGCTTCTGTCTCAACTGACTAAGATGTGCAGCAACACTAAAACAATTACGAAATCAGTAGATTTATTATATTTATTTATAGTAATTTTTCAGAACAAGGAAGAAAAGCCTACATATAAATTAGTTATGAGTAAAAACTCTACCCCCTTATATTAATTTTATTTTTTATTGAACTTCATAATAACTTCTAATTAGTCTGATTTTTTTGTTTCAATGAGGTAGAACTTACTAATGTGTACAATAGAAGGGAATAATTATCACTTCCCATACATTGTTTACTTTTCTGTCTTGTACTTCAATAAAAGGAATAATCTTTCCATTCATTGTTGTAATCTACCCAGGGAGCTGTATGGCTAAGGGGTGGCTTAGAGATTAAATAAATAAACAAAAATGACTATTATAGCATAATCATCATCATTGCTTGCCTTTTACCAGGCTGGTGAAATAGGTCTGCAGACATAGTAAAGGTTTCTGCATATGGCATGCAGAAAATTATTATTGTTGCAATTCTGAAAAATGAAGTGGAGAAAGGCGGCATGGAGAACAAACAACATGGCCAGGCAAGCACTTAGCATGCTCATTTTTTCCAGGAGCACTGATTTTGCAGTTATGTCACAATGTATGGCACATTCCACTCTACAAGTTTAAAAAGGTTTGTAGCACAACAAACCATTTCAAAGTGATCAATTTAAAACAACAAATTATCATGATAAAACAACCCTGTACTAGTAGGAACAGATGATAAAACTACATAAAATATGCACAGCATGATTAACAACTGCTACCAGTATATGGTCTTCAGTTGTTTCCAGCTGGATAGCAAAAGTGGTATCTGGTACAGCTTTCTGAAGATGGTTTACCACTAGTGAAAAGCCATATCTTGGTTTTACCCACCTTAATTCAGAAGTGGGGAGTAACCTGAATGGCATTCAAATCCTTGGATGACCCTACATGCAGTTTAATGTAGATGTTAAAGCAGAATGGGAAGCAAAAGTTGAGAATCAGGCCTTGTGGTAGCCGATAGCACAGCTGCCATGGAATAGAGTAGTAATTTCCAGCACCAGCCTCTCCAAACCTGAAAGCTTACAGCATCTTCTTCATGCAGAGTGTATTGTAGTTTCATAGTACGCATTGCTTGACTGATCATATTCTCCCAGCCCTGGATGGTATTAACTTTTAAAGACTCTTGCCGCTTTAAGGTTGTGAGGTTGCTTTGGGGAGGAAAACAGCTTCCACTAGTACTGATTTATTGTTGATGTAGCTGAACAAATCAGGAATGGGAAGGTTCTCTGACACCTTAAATTATCCTGGAATTGGGCTGAAAATAATGAAATGTGATGTAGGATGCAGAACCAGTGGTACCATTGGTACTTCAACTGTCAAGAAGCTTTCAGCATCCTGTCCATTGAAAATTTCCAAAAAGAGCTTGGTAATAATCATTTCTGACATTAACTGAAGAATCATGGATTGTATGAATTGACCTACTGTGCTCTTTTCATTATTTCTTCATGGTGAGCATTAAGCGTTGACAGCATTGGCTCTGTGTTGGGACTAAAGAATCTTTATATTGTTTAGCCATGTAAAATATGATTTCAGAAAAGGATGAGGAAAATATTAAAAGTTTAAAGAGGATGTGGTATTAGGAGAGACTACAATAAACAACAGTATTTTTTTAACAAAACTATTACATAGTATTAAAAGCCTTACACTGCAAAAAAGGCCTGAAAATACTTATTTTCTATACCTATGTAGCTGCACTTACACATAGAATACATGAAGACTGACCATCACCATAAATACAATTGGCAGAAGGGTGATCTATAAGAATTAAAATAAATCATAGCACACTTTTTAATATGCACAATTTCTGCATAAGTGTTTGCTGATAACTGGAATATCAAAGCATTTATTTTCAGGATATAGTTTAAAGGCTTGCATCAACGATCATGTGTGAAATATGGTGGTAATCGCAGTTGGCTCTGTGTTGTGAAAATTCTGAAGAGTTAAAATGTAGCTGTTGATGCTTCAGCCACCTTAGGAGAGAAGGAGTTAACAGGTTAGCCCCCTTGACCATTCTCTGTGTGCTTCCTTGCCTTTAGGAGCAAAAAAGAAAGCGATGATAATATTGTGCCTGGACTTGTCTCTGCAGAGTTTAGGGTACTCCTGGGGTTTTCCAGCTAAATGTAAAGCAAGCTAGAACATGCTCTCTCCTGATTTTCTTGTTTTTCTCTCAACCCTTTCAGTGCCCTGCAGGAATCATTAAATCAGAACTTCATGCTGATCGTCACCCATCGAGAAGTCCAGCGGGAGTACAACCTCAACTTCTCAGGAAGCAGTACCATTCAGGAGGTGAGTTCTGTCTCACAGCTGAAGAATAAATGTAGCTCATTATAACTAATGTCAGCTTTGTTAAAGAGGGCTTACGTATTCAGGCTGCAGACTTCCTTTCATGTTTCGTTATTAAGTTTTTAGCTTTTAATTAACTGGAAGATTACTGTAGGTACATCAGATGGTGTGACCTACATATAAAATTTGCATTAATTTTAGCCCAAAGCAGTAGTGTGTTCAGTAGCATGTTGCATTATAGTAGCAAACTGCATTGCCGAGGATGAACTGGTGTCATCTAGCTAGGGAGTCTTTATTTCTGTGTTTTATTTCATTGTGTTTTCTTACATTTCCCAAATACGTGAGTCAAATGCACACTGCTATCATATTGTGTGGATTATGGATGAAATGGCAGAGAAATGGTTTCCATTTAAAAATCTGATGACTGTTATTCTCTGAAACAGCCAGCAAGGGGTGATGTTGCAAAGAAGAGTCCCTTGCTGATCTAACATTGAAAGACAGATGTACTCCCTGAAACAGTCATTGCCCTTTGACTTAAAAAGTGGAAAATCCTGTCTGTTTCATAACCTTGTTGTATGTCAAAAATCAAGCAATTGGCTTCCCTGCTTTTTCTGTTTAGCTAATTACAATCCCTTTGGAGTACATTAGATTCATTCCAAAAGCAAGTGTTTCTCTTGAATCTTTTCTTGGGATATAAAACCAAACACTGCCCCCTCCACAAATAAAATATGATGGCATGCATGCAAACAGACCTGTATTTGTACAAAATACTTCAATGGCTATTTGCCCCCTTCCAGCAGCAAACTGTCATACCTTGTGGAGTGCAGGTTTAGACTCTTCCTGTCCTTAGGGATGTTTTGTTTCTAGGGACCGCAGCTGACAGCTATAAAGCTCTTATGTACGCAAGGAACTTTGTCCGTGGATGTTGACTTCTTTATGCAACTTCTTACTTCGAATTCATTTGTATACCAGTGGCTATAATACTAGAAGCCAATTTATGCTATTTTGGCTGTAAGAAAGATAAAATTAACCTGAAGAATTTTGCTTGAGCATCACTTCTTTTAGGTGCCAAAATGTATTTTGTAGTTTACATAGCATTAATTAATATTTCTGTTTTAACTTAGAAACTAGCAAATTACAAATTAATTATAGAAATGCTTTATGTCACCTCCAAGACATTATATAGTAGAACTAAATGATGACAGCTTATGTTGCTTCCAAGAAACTGTACTAACTGCATATGATGCAGTTACAAAGAAACTAAATTTAGAATTCTAAACCACATCCCAAAACAGTACTTAGAATAGATATGCACTGTTGTCCTACTCAACTAAGGGATGGGAAATTGCCTCCATTGCGGAATATAAAATGAAATTGCTCAGCTTTAATACCAAGCATTGGAAAAAGGGGTTCTGAGTTGAAATTCCATGTCTGCTTTCTAGAACTATATCAGTAGTATTATGATAGGAATGAGTTTTTGCCCAATGTTTTCCCAACGTACATACTGCATAGTAAGCTGCTTCACGAAGAAGAGATTTGCAAAATTAGTTTGCATTGTGGAATAAAGCAGGCTGCTTTTTGGGGGGGACGGGGGGACGGGGGCAGAATCCCTGTGTGTAAAAGGAGCTCTAAACTAGATATCCGATTGTATTTGTTTTAATTTGAATATAACTTTTGAACATCAGTTATTAAAATCAATTGCCTTTGAAGGGAATGTTAATTATAAGTTACTGATCAAATTGTCTTTCCTCAATTTTTGGTCAAGTGTTTTAAATTAGTGGTTTAGCCATGATTTCAGTTACACTACAGCCGTAATTGAACTTCATATGCAAGTTTCAGTTGTTAACCACCAGAGGGCAGGAAGGCCTATTCAATTATTCTCTAAAAGTACCATCCAGTGTTTTCAAATTAGCTTCCCATATATTAACAAAAAGGAGTATAATGGCAGAGTTATTGTTTGATTTACAGATAATTGGCATATTGCGTGAAGGAGACTTAATTTCACCCTTTAAAATTAAACAGGGAGATTTAAAAAGACATAAAATATTCATTAATGTTCAGTGATTATAAAGCAGTGGCATATATTTATTTTACCTTTATTACTGTTTCGATGGGAAAATTCTGCAAATATTTCAGAAATCGAGTTGGCCATACTGACAAGTTGAAATGTTTAAGCAGTGTTAATGCAATCTACTCACACCTGATATTCTATGCAGAAAGATTCAAAATGTCTGCATCAATTATTAAAGGAAATACTTAACATTCTAGAAATGTTTCAGGGCTCACCACAACTGTTGGATGCAACTGTCTCTCCAGACCGAATTGTTTGGCTTATTTAAAGCATATTTTACTGCAGCAATGATTTGCAAGCAATATTAAAAATATTTTCCTGAGTTTTCCAAATAAAATGGTATTAATATCTTTCAATGAGTGGGCGAAAAATCTGTGAAATTATTTAAATTGAATGAACATTATTCTCCTAGTTAAAAGCCCTTTGATTTTCTTTTGGAATGTGGATTGGAAAGCTACTAAAATAGTGAGATGGTTTGAACATGAATCTTGATGGATTTAATAAAAATAATGTGATGAAAACCTAGGAAATGTATTTGGGAGTTTATTCTGCTTAGATAGCAGGAAACATACTTTTAAAAAAGAACAGGTGAGGTATGAGACAATCCTATGGTAATATTATGTACTGTTAGACTGCATAACCTACGCTGGTCCTAATATGAAGTCAGTCTAGTTTGAAAACTGAGGTGTGTTTTGACTGATGGTCTCTTGGCTTTGGATTTCCCCATGCAGACACAGGTTTATAATATAGATGGATTGATGCCACACAGCTTTTCTATCATGCTATACTTCTTCTTCTTTCCTTTAATTTCCGAGTAGCAAGATTGTGGGTGTTGTATGTCACTTTTTTTTTTAAGTTCCCTTTCCATTCTTACAAGATTTAATTAGCAATTTGCAATGATGAAATAGCCAGGATCTCTAATGCAGACTTTTCTAAAATTGCATATGAACAGGAGGTGGGAGTAGGAGAGATTGCTTTGGAAACAATTATTTCATGTTGGCCTATAATGCAGATTAATTCATGTGATACTGGGCCAATAAGTAACTCTTGACCAAAGAGTATATTAAAGAAATCTTGTCTTTTAAAGATGAAATTTAAACCTAATCTAAAAGTGATGAAGTCATGTATTTTTATAAAATATGAAGTAGGTATATATAAGGGTGCTTTAAATTAAAGATTCTTGATGTGAACTGTTGTAGATTTATTGAATAATATAATAATCATTGCTATATCATATTAAACATGTTAGTTGCAGTACTTGTGAATCAAACAGATGACTGTACAGTGAAACTGTAGGCAAGACAGAAAATAGCATGGAGCTGGCTAGCTTCTGTAATCTTGTTGCTGCACCAAATTTCTTGTGTTGCAATTATGAAGCAACTTTTCCCTAGCTTTAGAGTAAGAAGCTAGTAGTGTCACCATTCTCTTCATTGCTTGTCTAAAGCGTGTGGTATTGCATTGGTCCTCTAAATCTGGCACCTAGTGCTGTGCCATCTGCTGTGACAGAAAATAAGATGGGGCACAAATATATCTATTAAAGAAGGATATACAAGTACGGCTATTTGGTAGTAGGGCTTTGTACTTTGAAACGTTCTTGAGTGTGTGGGAGAATGACACATTTTATTAGAAGGATACCATGTAATGGCCTACGTTGTGACATTTTGAGTTCAGGGATTCCTGACAATGAAACTGTTTCCTTAGGGGTGCTTGGTTTTTATAACTTTACAGATTTTCATAGTGATATTTTACTTGGATTTCTCTAAAGCTGAATTAATTGTTTAATGTGAATATCCCATACTGACTTCTGGAGTTAAAAGGAAAGGAACCAAAATCAAAATCTAGAAATACCTAAAAAGTGCCTTAAAAGGGTGATTTAATTTTATGTGTTAAGTTTTTTAGGCCTCTAAATAATGGGAGCAGAGGGACAGTAAAGCATTTGAGTTCACTAGACATTACGTACTTACGTACAACTGAATTTCAAAATGACTATTAGTAAAAAGTTTCAGTTTTGACTAAATGATCAGTAGATAAGTATTCTTATGCATTGAACTGATACCAGTGCAAATCAAGTTACTTGATGTCACCTTTAAAATATGTATATAGTTATAAAGAAACCTGATTTTTTGGGGGCTACTAAGTTTGGTACCCACAAAATGCCTTACTTGAAGGTCCAAATCTAGTACAGAACACAGAAAAGCAAAATGGCCAAAGATAAAGCATCCCAGGTAGGGCAACAGCAGGTATCACCTGAGGGATAGCTTCAAGTCCAAATAAACATAAGTGTGAGGCCTGTTGTGCAGATAGCCTATCAATAATTGTGCCCACAAATCTGTTGCTTTTGGAACTCTTTTCATGCTGCTCCAAGGATGATTGAATGGATAAGGAAAGTAAGTGAAGCAGGTTTAGACAGTACCCACATCTCTGGATCATTACATTACATTCAAAGGGCACTTGAGCAGCTAGGGAGGAATATTTTATTTATTTATTTAATTTATTTATTAAAACATTTCTATGCCACCCCATTCGCTGAAGCCTTGGGGCGGCTCACAACATACAATTAAAATACAAGAAATAACAATATAAAATAAGTTTTAGACTAACTTTTCCTAACTGGTGCTCTCTAGATGCTTTGCACTTCAACTTCCATCAGCCCCAGCCAGCTTGTCCAATAATCAGGAATGCTGGAAGTTGTTCCCTTTAAAATATATGAAGGACACTAGTTTGGGAAAGGCTGGCCTAGACTATCCTTGTGGTAGGCAGACTCTCTCATGCATTTGGGGCGGCGGTCTTCTTGTTTAGCTCTCATGGGATTGGGATTGTTATTTTAAGTGGCAGTGTAGTGACTCAAAATGAACCTGGGCAGCAACTTTTGTTTCAGATTATTTCTTTAAGATGCTTTCCAGGTTCAGTAAATGCCAAAGCTTATTGTAAA